AATTATTATAATTAAATATCCATTAGATAAAATACAGTTTCAGTAGAGAATGCCCCTCTCATTCTGATAGGTGGTATATAGCTCCTGTTGTGACAAGGTTTGGCCAACACTATAACAATACAAATAGAAGAGTTATAATTGTTATCTTCTACATGAATATATAGAATTCTATATTTTTCTCTCAGCTTTCTCTAGAATATATTCAAATGGTTTTCATACATTTGCAAAAGGTTCACTTTGTTGCAGTAAGTCCTAAAATACATCTATGCAAGCACATTTAACAGAATGCATATACACTTCTATTCGTGATACACTTCATACATTCTGATGTTATGTACAGTACACACATGCATTACAGATGTTTTTCTTCAGATGGTGTGTATTTTATATGGTGACATTTGACTCCCTAAATTAGGAACAATAGCATTTTTCAAGTCAATCAGATGCGTATTATGACTTAGACAATATCTTAAAATACACTATAGACATTTAGCAATGTCGTCGTAACAACTTCATGATAGTTTCTTCCTATTAAATTATTGCTTATCACACTTAAAGATGTACTCACATCACTTACCATCATAAAACGTAAGATGCTTAAAGCAAAGAATTTAAAAATAAATTGTGTTATCTCGAAAAAGAAAAAATGAACTAGTGATAATAGAACAAAAAGGCACTAATTTTTTTTACCCTCTTTTAGATTTATCTTACTGTTTTTTCTCTATTTTTGTTTCTCTTCCTCCACGTTTAAATATGCATCTTTTTAAAATAATAAATTTTAAGCTAAAACTAGCTGTATATTTTATAGATATAAAAATTGTATTTATTTAAATCTAACACTCATTACTCAAAAATGTTTTATTAATTAAACTGTTAACATTACAAAAAAATCATTAATAAAAATGTATTATAATATTAAACATAATTTTAAAATATATTATAAATAAAATTATATTAATTAAATTAAATTGAAAGAAAATAATTTAATGTAAAATATTAGATTATTTCTCCGAGAAATTTTTATGTATTTTACTTCCACCCCCCTTTAAAGGAATCTTTCTGAAGTCCATTGTGCGGCCAAAAACTTCCTGGGGCTCTATTATTCGAATCCATGACGGATCCTCGGAGCAGCTGGCTGACGACTATACGCCTCGTATTATCAGAATTGAGAGATATACTGTAGTAAGTTCAAGAAACGAGCAGTTAATTAAGTAGGCATAGGCACAATCCATTGGTTTGCTTACTTAATCGCTTGTTTCTCAAAACCGTCCCTGGTCACAGAGTTACGGTTTAGAATAGAATTAATGTATCAAGTAGTCGATAGCCGGTGTTCAAATCACTCCGCAACGGTACGAAGCTGTTTTATCCATTTCGTTGGTAGATTGGATTGGATTATTTTGGTTACGGCAACGCGATACGTGGGCGATGTGCCGATGGGGATGCCATCCGGTAAAACTTTCTAACGGAAACAGCCTCTACTTAGGTGTTATAAACGTGAAGAAAACCCGGAAAGCTCCACGTCCGTTGGAGAGAAGCGAACCCGCGACCAATTCAGTAGTTTTATCCATTTGGCCACCGAAATGAATGAAAAGATTTTAAAAAACATTTAGGAGTATACTATAGATAGAGGCGACGATAGATGTAAGGAATTGCACAGGGGCAGTTGGTTTTTTCTGGGGATTTTTCCCGAGAAAAGCCGGGTACTTCAAGTAGCAAAAACTTTTGCAAGGCAGATTGTTTCCTTTCTGCACTTTCCTCCAAAGATTTCTGGATCCACTATTGGATGAAGACTTAAAATTTCACACACCATACAATCTTATCAATAACTATACTATTTCAGTGATATTAATACTGTAATTGGACTGCAATTTTAAAAAAACTGTAGATCTATTTAATTTCGAGAACAGAGTTAGATACATGAAAATCAACACCAGATATAGAAACATTAGAGGCAGAAGGCACCGAATAACTATATACGAACTTCCGATGCAAACCGGAAGTCGCGTTATTTCAATTTCAAACTCCCCCCGAATGGTGTTAGATGATCGGCACGAGTCTATTGTTAAAGAAAAAGTACGATGTACAGGGGCAAGCCACTACTAATTTGAAGTGGATAATTTAGATTAAATTAACTAAAAATATGATTAAAAATTGCAACCCGGCATTTTGACGATGTCACAATAAATAATTGCTCGTTTCTATACGCTATACTCGATCGAAACACGACGAAATTTTATGCTCGCTGAATCGAGTTTATTTAATTATTTAGAATATTTTTATAATACTGGGTGCATGTTATAAACGTCAAAGTTTTGCATAAATCGANATAACCGTTAATTGGAATTCCCGTTGCGTAATTTTTCGAATTTCATATTTCGAATTTATAGAATTAACTGAGGATGAACGCTTAATGCGTTTGAAAACGTTTTTAAGTTATTAAAGAATTTTGCTGGATAGATAAATGGTTTTTGTTTTTATTGATTTTATTCTCCAGTAAGCAAGTATACTATTATAGTTTTAATGGCTTCGCCGGCCAAATCGTACAGGAAAATGGTCGTAAAATTATGCAGAACGAGAATGAAGTTCGAATTTCTTTTACAATGCCGGTTAAACGGTGTTTTCCCGATGTCTATTCATCGGATTAGCCTATTTTTTATCCTGTGACCAACTATCAGCATTATGGTTTTATCCACTTGGCCACTGGTGGGCACAAAATATTAAGAAGTTTGAATATTTTAATCAAAATTAAACATTTTTTGAGTCATTTTGCCTCATTATCAGATCATAACTAATCCAAATGAAGAAGTTTTTCAAAAATATTTTAATGGAACTATTTGAACACTCAAATAGTGCTGTAAGAATAGAATTAGTCACACAGAATTAAGTCTACCATTTGAAGAAATTGCCAATATATTAATGACATTACAATAATTTGGCATTATAGTAGTATAAAAATTTATTTTGATCATAAATATTCTAAAATTACTAGCAATTGTCAATATAGGTTAATTTAGTTGATAAAATATTATCCTTGAAGACTGGCAACTTAAATTTAGTATCCAACAATTGCCCTTTTTATCATCTTTGATGACTTCATAAATCTAATTTAAAAATATAAAATAAGAAAAAAAAACTCATCCTGTTCTGACTANACCAAATCCACACCTGTTTTAGTGACATGTCATTACCACCGTACACCTCAACAAGTTGACGATGAATTTCTACTGGTGAGTTGCCCTTCAGACGAGAAACCGTATCACACTACGCAATTCCACGTTTGACAACGTTTCCGTGAACGCAGCCATCTTCAAAATGATATTGCGAAAATCTAACGCAACATTTGCTCCAGCTAACGCTGTGCGATAAAGCTGTGGTCTTCTGCTGCTGCCCTGATAGGAAATATGAACAAGAGGAAAAATGTGACACCCGTGAGAGCTCTTGTTACTTTACTTTTTGAATCAGCGTCGTACAATATTGTTTCAAATCCTTCCTGATTTTTGTATATATTTCCATTTTATTACATTAAATAAATAAGTTACAAACATTTATTTTTTGTTATAGGTATGGATAGCAATTGTCATTTCATTCATAATTGTATCAATTATATTTTTTCTGATATTTCGTATCGAGGCAAAGTTACATCGAAGAAAACATGTTAAATTTTATGATGTTATTTGGGCACTGTTTGGTTCATTTACATGCAAAGGTTGTATTGTATTTTACAGTTTTCGTTTTTCTGTTAACAAACGAAATTTATATTAAATATTAATTAATAGATAATTCTCTATTCTTCCCTTCTGGACAAAGCTGTAAATTGATTGTGTCGGGATGGATTCTCGCGTGTTTCGTTATTACTTCAAGCTATAGTGGAGCCTTGATGTCATCAATCACATTCCCAGGATACGAACCAGCTCCTCAAACTTATACTCAGTTATTGAAATTTGCCGACAGAGGAGTTTATATCATAAGTTTTGATATTGATGATATAGTTTTTCAACTCATTTCTGTGAGTATGAAATTTTTCTTTCCGTGAAAACATATTATTTTTTAAACATTTTACTTACTTATTTTTCAGAATAAAAAGATATTCTCGCATATTTTAATACTATTGTCTAGGTTTCATTACCATACATTAGCAATTTACACAAATGTGCGAATGTTTTAATAATATTTTATAGTCTATTATACAGATTAACATATTAATGTTAAAATTTCGCCTTATTTGCAAATTTTACTGTTTAATTACAGAATTATTCTAAAAATCTATACATAATAGTTGAAACGTTCTAAATTAGAAAATCACAATTTTTTCAATACAAAAATATTCCTTCGGAAAACGTATTCCTTAATAATAGATAATTATTTCAATATGGGTGAAAAAGTTCGAAAAATCTATTTAAATCTAATTCAAAAATATTCCTTCGGAAAACGTATTCCTTAATAATAGATAATTATTTCAATATGGGTGAAAAAGTTCGAAAAGACTTCATAAATCTAATTTAAAAATATAAAATAAGAAAAAAAAACTCATCCTGTTCTGACTAGAAATGATTAAAAATATTGAAACAACACTAAAGACTAGTGTTGTTTGAATGTTTTTAATCACCTCTAAAGTTGGAACAGGCTGAGAGGCATTTTTGGTGTTTGGTCACATATATAATCCCTACCTAATAACCATGGCATCCAAGAACCATGTGGGAGCAACAAAGTGTAAGAGGAAGGTTTTAGTATCAATGATTGGGGTGAAAAAGGAGCTTATTGCAAATCACGACAATGGTACATGTGGTGGATCTAGTGGTCATGTTTAAGATGCCAAAGTCTTGTATGATGTGTGACTAGTAAATGCAATTTTCATTTTATTATGAAGTATTTATGCATTTTATTTATTATTTACATGTTTTAGTTTATTATTTAGGATTTTTAATTTTGTTATATTTTCCTTAAATTATGTGTATTTGCTGTTTAAGTTTATCAAATTTGGTATTGTTTAGGGTCTGCTCTCAGACCCTAAACAATACTGATTCACATTCCATTATTTCTAATGGGGAAAATTAATTCAGATTTTAAACAGTCTCCGAAATGAATTAAATTCAAAGTACGAGGCACCACCGTAAAAATAAATAATATTGTTTTTATTATGTTCTAACAAATTTACCTGCTGTCTGCGATGGATTAATGCCAACACCATCATCTGTAATAATAGCACTTGTAGCTGGAGGAACTTTAAACTGTAAATTAAACCTCCATTATTATTCAAATACTTTAAAGCAAAACCTACAAAGCTTTATATATAAAGATATAAATCAAAATCTCACCTCTTCAGCTGCAAATTTCAAAACTGCTGTGAATGGAGTTTGTTCAGGTACACTCAAACTATTAAATAAATAAAATTAATTAAAATATACTATTATAACTAAAAACCTTTTCACATTTTAATAATCTTTAGATGTAAAATAAAAATTTAAAAAGATACAGAATAACTTTGTGTACTAATACAATAATTAACAAAAGCCTTCTCGTTGCTTTTCTGTGAATTTTTACGTTTAAAGATAAATAAACTAAGAAACATTAATGACATTTATGCTTTTATAATTTATACTGTTTATGTTGCTGGATTTTTGGTGTTGGTATGTTTATTTTTGAGCTATATCCAGTTTTATGAATTGTTTATTTGCATATACAGTAAGACCCCACTTAATGCAGGGGGATGCGTTCCTAGAAGACAAAGCACTGAACAAGGTCATTTTAACAGAGTAAATAGGAATAGGGAAACATGCGACCAAAAATAAACAGATTTTAATTTAATTACTTTAAGTTATTTTTATATTAATTTGCATAATAATATATGTTAAATAATACAAACATATGCACACAGAAATGTATAATAATATATTAATAGTTCATTTTTGTGACGAAGATCCTGACTTTTCTGAAATTCTTGCTTTTTGCAATAAAGTCATGAAGTTTCATTTCCTGCTTTTTTCTTTCCTTGAGCAAATGTCGGTAGCGGAAGATTGCATCCAAAACGCCTCATTTTGCTTTTACAGTCCTTTCAAAATCTGGATCATTCGCTACAATCTGATCAACGATTTTGGTTATCGTTACCAAACTTTTACTAAGGAAATCTGCCGAAAAAATGCTTTGGGTTCTTTGTTTTCAGAATCACTATTTTCCAGTTGTACATGAATTCCTTGTTCTGCCAGTTCTTAAAGGTCGTCGTTGGTAAGGCTCTCACCAGAAACCTGCTGTAACTCCTTAATATCCTGCTTGTCTACATCTCCTAGTCCTGTTGTATCGATTAGGTTGAGTTTGGTCAACCTAACGATACAGCGATAGGCTCTTCTCGTTGAGAATTCTTGAATACCATCAGCCATAACTTCTTCCACATTTCATTTATGCATTTATCAATTAATTCTTGCCAAGCCAAGCCAATATTGCCTATGACATCCATGATGTTATATTTTTTCCAAAATTATACCAAACAAACATAGATTTAAAGAAAGTACACTTTTTTGCCACCTTTTTCTGATCGGTTCATGTTTGTAAATAATCATATTATGTACAAATCCATGAAATGCCGCAATAATTTAAATTGGCATAAATTTTGAGCGTTTTTTAGGCTTCAAGCAGACCGCATTATATTGAATCAACGTTAAGCGGGGTCTTACTGTATTTTGCTTATCTTCAAAGCTATTACTGATGTAATGGTCTTAAAAGATAAGAAATTTATTATTTGAATAAAGTGACTTTAAAGTAAATTAAATAGAAAAAAAATACACTTTACTCAAATAGTAAATTAATACAGTATTGAATTTTAAAACTTTGCTATGATATTTTTAAAATATAATACAAACTTCATAAAAAAATTTTTTTTTGATGTTAGTGATGAGTCAGAGGAAAAACCCATGACTCATAATTTTAAGTCAAAAGAAACTGGATTTCTATTTATAGAACTGAAGTGCAGAGATGTGGTTGTTACTTAAAATGAGACTGGAAAAAAATGCTAAAAAATAACATCAAAATTATGAAATTGAAGGAATTAGTCAGGTGTTTGATTAAATTAATCTAAAAAATTGTAAATGCTAATAACAAGTAAAATCGTCATTATGTCTGACCCTACTGGAGATATACAAGACCTCCATTATCTCCCCACCCCCTTGATCTTTTACCACCAAAATTTAATAGCATCAATCCCTCTAATAAACAAACCTCCCTGCAAAATTTCAGAAATGTTTGATAAAAAGCATGAGAGTTATTAAGCTTTAAAGAGTGAACAAAATTGTGCACCCCCCACACTAACATCCATACATACAGAAATTACCCCAAAATTTTTTTGCATTTCTGGATGTTTCAAGGTCTCAAGTGCAAAAATGTAAAAAACTTTGGGGGGTCATTTTTTGACCAATCGCCATATGAAACCTGTTATATATAACAGCCGGGAAAGTAAAAATTGGACATTAAGAATCAAAAGAATTAATAATTATGACCCAACAAAGTTGGTTATCATATGCAAATTGCCATCTTTAATATTTGTATTTAGAAAAAAAAATATGGAGCCACTCATAAGTAAAACTCTGAAAAATTAATTATATATCTTGCTAAATTAAGTAAGAAATAAAAATAAGGCAACACAATTATATAGTTCCAACAAATATTAAATGAATTTTAAGATATTTTTGGAAAAAATTCTTGGGCCTCTAGGTACAAAAGGTTGGGGTCCCTCTTTATAACTTTATAATAGCACAAGCTAATAATGTCTGATTGTAGCTATATAATTATTTATAAACTATGATATAACACAATTTCAAGGCCCTAAAATATGGTTTGAGAGCAATAATTGATAAGCTTTAGATGTGATCAGAATTGAATAAAACCTTCAACATAGAAAATTCAGAAAAATTTATTGAACAAATGCTTAGCAGTTTGCTATTGATTTCCTGTATTATTAACCAAGAATTTTTATTATTATTATTTTTTTAATTCTAATAGTGTAATACCNAATGAGCTGTCAAGGGGTACGCAAGTCGAAAAACGTTGAGAATCGCTGCCGTAGAAAATGTGTAAAATGCTCTAGGAAGACGAGTTGCATCCAGTCATCTTCCACCAAGAACCATGCAGAAACTTAAAAAGTTCTTGTTCAAGAATGGACTTGCTCAAGAAGCTCATATTCTTGAGGTTCTTGAGCTTCTTGAGCAAGTCTTGTTCTTGAGCAAAAGTTCTTGTTCAAGAATGGACTTGTTCAAGAAGCTCATGCTTGTTTACAACGTTTATCAGTTCTGCTCTCACAGAACTGATAAACGTTGTAAACAAGCATGAGCAATTGTTACGCTCACTTTTTGAATGCATATTTTCGTATGTTTGTACGTACATTATCGTAAACGTATATCCAAAATTGTAAATTTCGTAGTTACTTCTCGTGTTTCATAAGAACGATAGTTCTCAATCTGAAATTAAAATCAGTTATTTAAATTTTTATAATTCGAATAATAATCATAAATAGTAAAATTATACGAAATGACATACGATTCGCCAGTTTTTAAGAAATCAAATCCTTTATTAATATCATCTAAAGAAATCACTTGAGTAATCAGATTATCTGTAGGAAGTTTTCCTTCCAAATACTCGTCCACCATTTTTGGTATGTCAGTCAGACCTTTACTATCTAAAGAAACATATAAACAGGGTGTATTTTTTATCTTGAGACAATGAAATAACTTAATTGGATATCATTATTTTGGAAAAAAGTTTAGACCAGTGTTTCTCAACGGGGGCGATATCGCTCCCATGTGGACGTTTTTCCATGTTGAGGGGGCGATAAGTAACTATTTATATTTTGGGGCGCGAAAAACAATTTTCTGGGCGATATAGTAAAACATTATATTAAGAATAATTAGATATTTTATTTGTTATATCGTACAATAATTAAACAAATAACATTATACTAGTATTATACTTANCTTACTGTATTTTGCTTATCTTCAAAGCTATTACTGATGTAATGGTCTTAAAAGATAAGAAATTTATTATTTGAATAAAGTGACTTTAAAGTAAATTAAATAGAAAAAAAATACACTTTACTCAAATAGTAAATTAATACAGTATTGAATTTTAAAACTTTGCTATGATATTTTTAAAATATAATACAAACTTCATAAAAAAATTTTTTTTTGATGTTAGTGATGAGTCAGAGGAAAAACCCATGACTCATAATTTTAAGTCAAAAGAAACTGGATTTCTATTTATAGAACTGAAGTGCAGAGATGTGGTTGTTACTTAAATTGAGACTGGAAAAAATGCTAAAAAATAACATCAAAATTATGAAATTGAAGGAATTAGTCAGGTGTTTGATTAAATTAATCTAAAAAATTGTAAATGCTAATAACAAGTAAAATCGTCATTATGTCTGACCCTACTGGAGATATACAAGACCTCCATTATCTCCCCACCCCCTTGATCTTTTACCACCAAAATTTAATAGCATCAATCCCTCTAATAAACAAACCTCCCTGCAAAATTTCAGAAATTTTTGATAAAAAGCATGAGAGTTATTAAGCTTTAAAGAGTGAACAAAATTGTGCACCCTCACACTAACATCCATACATACAGAAATTACCCCAAAAATGTAAAAAACTTTGGGGGGTCATTTATTGACCAATCGCCATATGAAACCTGTTATATATAACAGCCGGGAAAGTAAAAATTGGACATTAAGAATCAAAAGAATTAATAATTATGACCCAACAAAGTTGGTTATCATATGCAAATTGCCATCTTTAATATTTGTATTTAGAAAAAAAAATATGGAGCCACTCATAAGTAAAACTCTGAAAAATTAATTATATATCTTGCTAAATTAAGTAAGAAATAAAAATAAGGCAACACAATTATATAGTTCCAACAAATATTAAATGAATTTTAAGATATTTTTGGAAAAAATTCTTGGGCCTCTAGGTACAAAAGGTTGGGGTCCCTCTTTATAACTTTATAATAGCACAAGCTAATAATGTCTGATTGTAGCTATATAATTATTTATAAACTATGATATAACACAATTTCAAGGCCCTAAAATATGGTTTGAGAGCAATAATTGATAAGCTTTAGATGTGATCAGAATTGAATAAAACCTTCAACATAGAAAATTCAGAAAAATTTATTGAACAAATGCTTAGCAGTTTGCTATTGATTTCCTGTATTATTAACCAAGAATTTTTATTATTATTATTTTTTTAATTCTAATATAGTAATACCTCGACTTACACTACACCAACTTATGCAATTTTCAAATCTCGTCAATTCGTCTTTTGTTTGAGCGCCACGCAACTCTTGATTACTCACTCCCCCACACTATTGTTCGGCTTACATGTTCAGACGTGTCGTGCAGAATCGACACATAACCACAATTTATTTTGTGTTATTTATTTCTGTGTTTGTTATATCTATGGAGACTTGAGAGACTCTATGTGGTGATTTCTTGTAACCATGAACAAATCAAAAGACAAGATAAGATTAACAAGAACATTTATTAGCTTACATACATCCGACTTGGATTTTACACAAATTACGAAATTATACCCCAACTTACGTGGTTATTGCTCGGTCCCACCTATCGCATAAGTTTGGGATATTACTGTATTTGTATTCCTGACATAAATTTTTTGCAAGACATAAGCATGCATGGATAATCTGCAAACCAAACTAGATAAGCTACATGTGGATAATTGAGAATGTATACTGCAGTTATATCAACATAGAAAGTTTTCCAGAGACAAACCAAGCATATTTTTCAGATAAAGTTATTTTGTTTAATAAGTTTTGGTCACAAATTTATGGAATGTTTTACTTGATTCCAGGTGGTCATTTGCCTTGTTTAATCCCTGCCAAGGACACTCACGAATAAGGCAATGCAATTCAAAGTCAATCTGTCAAAAGGTGTCTCCCAGGAGGACTTTCTATGAGAAACTAGCCCTTATTTCAATGTTAAACACATGAAGAAAACTCAGAAATGCATTCTATTAGTCAGGTGCAAACGCAAGATCAACTACCAATGTTTAACGGTTTTATCTACTTTGCTACTGACGAGGTATCTACTAATGCTAAACTGCTTTTCTGTAGTTTGTAGGATGTTTGTAAAACTTCAAACCTTTATTAGTTTTTAGTCTTTAATTTGTAATATCTTTTAGTAACTGTATAGTTCAATACCGACTAAAAACTTAATTCATATTTACATAGACAATCAAATAATTTTTCCTAATAGCAAAATAATTAAAATCTAAATGTTCGTCAATTAAAAAAAACCAAAACAAAAGAATACTAAATTTTTCTAGGCTGTTTTTATGTTATATCTTATAAATTTTAACTAACCAACCATGTAATTTGGTTTAAAGATAAGTTAGTCCTCTCTCTACTTATATATACAAATAAGTATAGACTACAAGTAATTTAATGGTCAAAAACATTTGTTCTAATAAATAAAGTCAAAGTTAAATATCAAGGTGCATTTCTCTGTTAAATTTCTTGTTTATATTCCTTATAGTCATGAACTATTTTAAACCAAGATGAAAACTTAAGGAATTGATCGTGTCAGATGAAATGTTCTTGAGAAATTTTCTTTCACAATACCCCAGAGCAAAGTGTTACACGTTACATCTGAATTTCAAGTCAACTACAATATCGGATCCAACTTCTAATTTGCATCAAAAATTCTCTAACTGGAAGACCCAAAACTAAATTTCATATTTAGTGACTTTGTGGCCATATTGCATAATTGTCTTCTTATCAGAATTAGCTATTACTCTAATTGGAAAATAATTTTTATATAGAGGAAAAAGTGGCATTATGGAACTCTGCTGGTATTATGGAACCACTCCATTTCGAACTAATAATAAAGGCGAACTGTAGCGGATTGTGGCCGAACTGAACTAGGCAGACATTCATAGCAAGGGGAAAACCCATTTCACTTCAGTTAAACGGTTGTCCGTAGTGAATCAGCAAATTTGTTTTTTTCAAAATTCGAAAGTTTTGAATGCTAAGTGAATTTAATTATTTTTAAAATATAAGTTGTATTGTTGTAAGTTCACTGGTGCATGTATTCTGTTCCAGAGACTTAGGGGTACATATTAATCTGTGTGATGTTCACATTTTTTAAAATTTGGTCTTGACAGACATAAGTTAATTCAAGATGGCGATGCCACTGGTGCTTTTAAGGAACCCAACTCCTCTGAATTCTCTATTTGCAAGCAGACATTCGTCCAGAGCAATTTGTGAAAAAGACACTAGGTAGAAAGCCAATTCTTCGTCAGAATATCGAAAAAGAGCTGCTGGAATATATATTGTTGATGGAGGTCATATTTTTCTATTATAAAAGCATTTTTTCGATAAAATATATTGGAGTAAATAATTTTGTAATTATTTAACATTCTTTGTACTTTCCTATTTGTTTTTGGATACATTAAAGCATTTTTTGAAAACATACAGTAAGGTTCCATATTACCACCCGATTTTCTCTAAGCCTACTTTCGGACTTTTTGTACAAAAGCCTTCAAAAACCATACTTATAATTACACTAGCGAAAAATCCAATTAGGAACATTTAGTTTAATAGTTACCAGTACTTTTTTCACAAGAAATGTGGGTGTAGTTATGATACCTTGTTTACAATTCACTAAAATGAAAATGGGGTTCCATAATACCATCTTCTCCTCTATACTGAAAAAATTACATTCAATAATCTAATTTCTTCAATGTAAATGTCCTAAAATAAATGATTTTAGAACTAATAATAAGAATAATGTAGTAAATAAAATTTAAACTATCTTTTTCTACAATAATGAAGTCATTTATAATTTGCAATATAAGATGGCAACACAAATGTTTAACACATTTCGATGTCACGTTCGAGATACAAACATTAACTACTTAGGTACGAATCATCAATATCTGTGTCTAACTGCACAAAAAATGAATAGAACACATAGGGTCTTCCAAAATAAATGCCATCATTTCTGTAATTACGTTAATTATTATCCGAGAAGTACGAGACGTGCACTAATCAACGGAGTAACCATCACGTTTCGTCTTTCGTCCGCATTCGAACAATTTGCCATCTACCTCTAAAAAGCGCCGTAAGCAAAAGCGGCGAGTCCGCAACAGAGAAGGCATTTTCTGTTCCTCAAAGGCAAAAATCTACAGTGGAAAGTCCGAATCCACCGTCGCGCAACACGAGTAATTTACGGGAGCTAAAAAAATTCCGGCTTTCGCAGAAGGAGTGACAACGGGGTATGCCGTAGCAGCGCACGCAAAGAATTTAAACATCGGTCGGACGCGTGCCACGCAACACGAGGCGCATACGCCACACGCCGAGAAACCGTAACGGGTAAACGTAAAACTCGAACACTTTTCAAATGTTTTAAATTATATCACAACATAATTACAATCCCTTAAAACGGTAGCATTCATTTTGGAAGACCCTGTATTTAATTCGGCCATTAAATGGCATAGCAACAGATGTAAACACGAAATAGACAATGCAACCAAAACGTTGGCAGTAACGCTTCTATTTCAAACATGGCGTCAAAATGACGATGCTGAACAATTAAAGAACAGTGCCATCTCTTTATATAAACAAACTTTTCCAATGCATTACTTTTAGTTTTCACGTCTTAAGAACATACAACTATTCTATACGTACTGTATAGCGTATCTACTAATGCTAAACTGCTTTTCTGTAGTTTGTAGGATGTTTGTAAAACTTCAAACCTTTATTAGTTTTTAGTCTTTAATTTGTAATATCTTTTAGTNGTTCGACGAGAGTGACCGAAAAGTTGTAAATTTTGGAAATTTCTGAGGACACTTGGTCCTAAAACGAATTAGTTAGAAAACAAATGACTATTAAGATTAACGTATTTAGATTTTTACAGCTATGATGAGAAACGTTTAAAATCTACAACCTTGTCGCATCCTTTGAGGTATACTAGTGATGCGACGAAAGAGGTATTTGACATTGACCGGTATCGGCACCCCGGGGATTTGGCAGTCCGCGTGTATGCGCGCGCTCTGCAAACGTCTTCGATTCCATCCATTAGACACTGGTAGGGAGCTATTTGACTAAGTGCATTGTTTTAAGATTTAATAAGAATATTTTGTATTTTTATGTACGTTTCTTTACAAAGCTATATCTATATATATATAAATGAATGTATGTCTGTGCGTCTGTCCTTCATGCATTACCACACCGTTTATCCGATTGCCACGAAACTTTGGGAAGTTGTTTAATATACCCCCGCGAAGGTTTCTGGCATAGTACATTTATCCTACGATATATGGCGCGCGTGTATACGAGCATTTTACCGTGTGTTCGATCGATTTCAAATTGCGAAGACCATTTCCCCCTCCAAAAAATATCTCTATATATGCATTTTTTATTTACGATATTTGTAATCATTTTTGTTTAATCACTTTATTTCAACTTTTTTTTGCTAATTATGTATTCGCTCGAACTTCGTTAAAACATTAACTGTATCCCGAACAACAACCGAAGTTGTAGAAGGAAATTCTCCTATTTTACCGATCTAGGGATCCCGTTTTCCAAATTTTAATATCGACTCAAACAATTTAAAAAGACAAATTACAATAAAACGGTTTATTATCCAACTATCAGAAATTTCACAACACGCCAAGGAAGAGAGGAAGGAGCAATTAAATAGTTAAAATTATAAAGGATTAAAAAANTGCCACTAACGCTTCTATTTCAAACATGGCGTCAAAATGACGATGCTGAACAATTAAAGAACAGTGCCATCTCTTTATATAAACAAACTTTTCCAATGTATTACTTTTAGTTTTCACGTCTTAAGAACATACAACTACTCTATAGGTACTGTATAGCAGATATTATTCTAATAGCAGATATAGCAGATATTATTCTATTGTTCCTTGAAAGCATTTCCTCATCGACAAGGTTTATTTTTTTATATTTAATAGTTTATAAATTTATAAAAAATATATCAGTAAAATCAGTTTTTGGATTAATACTCAGATATTTTTAATAATTTACTTGGAATTAAATTAAAAAAAAAAAAAAAACACTTACACTTTATACGGTAATTTTGGATCGGCAGTCTGCGTTATTTTGAACGTAACCTTTGACCTGAAATTATACAATAAAAATAATCATTTCAAATATTTAATCGAGTTTGACAATTCGCATTTTTACTGTAAAAAAACAAAATATGTTCAGAACTCACATGTTTCTCCGAATAACCTAAAATTCTCGTGTGACGTCAAGACACAAGAACTGTTACGAAACTAACTCTTCGTTATTAGACTAATTAAATAAAATATTAATTAAATATTAAAACATAATTTTAAAATATATTATAAATAAAATTATATTAATTAAATTAAATTGAAAGAAAATAATTTAATGTAAAATATTAGATTATTTCTCCGAGAAATTTTTATGTATTTTACTTCCACCCCCCTTTAAAGGAATCTTTCTGAAGTCCATTGTGCGGCCAAAAACTTCCTGGGGCTCTATTATTCGAATCCATGACGGATCCTCGGAGCAGCTGGCTGACGACTATACGCCTCGTATTATCAGAATTGAGAGATATACTGTAGTAAGTTCAAGAAACGAGCAGTTAATTAAGTAGGCATAGGCACAATCCATTGGTTTGCTTACTTAATCGCTTGTTTCTCAAAACCGTCCCTGGTCACAGAGTTACGGTTTAGAATAGAATTAATGTATCAAGTAGTCGATAGCCGGTGTTCAAATCACTCCGCAACGGTACGAAGCTGTTTTATCCATTTCGTTGGTAGATTGGATTGGATTATTTTGGTTACGGCAACGCGATACGTGGGCGATGTGCCGATGGGGATGCCATCCGGTAAAACTTTCTAACGGAAACAGCCTCTACTTAGGTGTTATAAACGTGAAGAAAACCCGGAAAGCTCCACGTCCGTTGGAGAGAAGCGAACCCGCGACCAATTCAGTAGTTTTATCCATTTGGCCACCGAAATGAATGAAAAGATTTTAAAAAACATTTAGGAGTATACTATAGATAGAGGCGACGATAGATGTAAGGAATTGCACAGGGGCAGTTGGTTTTTTCTGGGGATTTTTCCCGAGAAAAGCCGGGTACTTCAAGTAGCAAAAACTTTTGCAAGGCAGATTGTTTCCTTTCTGCACTTTCCTCCAAAGATTTCTTAATCCGCTATTGCATGCAGACTTAAAATTTCACACACCATACAATCTTATCAATAACTATACTATTTCAGTGATATTAATACTGTAATTGGACTGCAATTTTAAAAAAATTATAGACCTATTTAATTTCGAGAACAGAGTTAGATACATGAAAATCAACACCAGATATAGAAACATTAGAGGCAGGAGGCACCGAATAACTATATACGAACTTCCGATGCAAACCGGAAGTCGCGTTATTTCAATTTCAAACTCCCCCCGAATGGTGTTAGATGATCGGCACGAGTCTATTGTTAAAGAAAAAGTACGATGTACAGGGGCAAGCCACTACTAATTTGAAGTGGATAATTTAGATTAAATTAACTAAAAATATGATTAAAAATTGCAACCCGGCATTTTGACGATGTCACAATAAATAATTGCTCGTTTCTATACGCTATACTCGATCGAAACACGACGAAATTTTATGCTCGCTGAATCGAGTTTATTTAATTATTTAGAATATTTTTATAATACTGGGTGCATGTTATAAACGTCAAAGTTTTGCATAAATCGAATTTTTATTTATGTAAAACTTCAGCACATAATAATAATCGGAATTGTTTTTAAAGATGCAATTTAGATGTAACATACATACAATAGGGAGTGTTAACTTGAATAATCTTCATCAAATAAAACGAATCTTTTATTATTATTATGTTTTATTTGTAATGTAAAGTACAAGTCGACTCCCCTATAACACTGTTGATTATTCCGTTTTATATGAGTTCCATGTTGTACGAGTCTCAGATTTTACAAATACGGGAACCATTCATAGCCAGGCATAAGTATTTGTAAAATCTAAGTGACTCGTACAACATGGAATTCATATAAAACGGAATAATCAACAGTGTTATAGGGGGGTCGACTGTAATTGATACCAGTGGTATTTTAAGCAAACCTTGCTCTTTGATGATAAAATTTAAAATTAGAATTTACCGAAGTTTGTTCGAAACCAAATAAAAACAGCAGAATTCGTTAGTCTCATTTAAAATAATTCAAGCAGATATTTACAACGCATATACCAATTTTTTTCATTTCTCCACACCCGCAAAAAGCCTCCCTAAAAAACAACGGTTCAGAAAGAGAAAACGAACACACAAAGACATTTCAGAAACCTCTAAAATAAAAGTTACAGAAAGATAGAAAATGGAACACCCGCCTGCGATTCAAACGACCATATGTACTGTACAGTATACTGTTTTCCTTCGCCAAACAATGCAGAAAAAAAAATAATAAAGTTAACAAAATAATAATGCGAACGATTGCAAAAAAACTCAGAAAAAACAAACAATGTAATAAAAAAACCTTTAAATAAGGTTTAAACTTTAAAAATATATTCAAAAATCAGATGCCAAAAGTTTAAAGAACGAGTCGAAAAGTGACCCCGCTGACAGTATATCGAACTATCGTGCCGCCCTCCGTATATCTTCTATTTGCCCTGTCTTTCTCTACTCGTAGACAACGATAAATTCGGTATTCGAATTTCTACGTATAAGTAAGTCTACGACAAACTGTCTAATGAGACGGAAAAGACGAAGATTATTATCATTACTAGAGGATATTAGAGATATATTCGGAGCTAAAAGCTAAGGCGAGGGATGGAGACTACCGGAGAAGAGAACAAAACTATACCCAAGTGAAGAAGACAGAACAATGGAGCGTGACGTCTACGACACTACATGTCCAAGCTGCAGTTCATTTCCTATGGATGATTAAAAATGAAATTGTATTTTCAAGTTTATAAGATAAGGCTAGTGTATAACATCCATTAAATCGATGCTATTTACGATTCGGATTGATTTCAGTTTAGACGATTTATTTCTAAACACACTATTTTGCTGTATTTCAAACCGCGACATAACTACACCTGTAACTCCGATATCACCGAGAGAAGTAGCAGAAAATTTCGGAAATGCACTTTATCGCTTCCTGGCCCCAGGCTAAGATCATTTGTAGTATCTGTTCTAATCAGCTTGATATCTGATTCGCTTCCACCGGAAGCTTTTCGATATTAAACTGTTTTTTGGAAACTGGCGAAGAGTTGGAGCTTGCTTCTCCTTTGCCTCGGGTTGACTCGGACTTGCACTTTTTCCGAGAACGGCCCATACCCTGCGGGGTAATAAATTAATAAAAATTAGACAATAACAAACTCTACTATACTTTGATTGAAGTCCACTAAAAGTATTGCTGTCATAATTAGTATACGGCTCGTTTTCTTGAAAATGACCCAGGCCTATATACGGCAGCCATGCCAATCAAGGTCGCTTCCTTCTTTTCTCTACTCTCTCATACACTCATAGAGTAAATGTTTATATGTAAATAGAGTAAAGAGCAACAAGCATTGATAATAGTACACATACAACAACTACTATTAATGATACTACAGACACTTCCTCATCCNTTCATATACTTCATCAGTTCCTGATCCTGACTTGACTGATGCTTTGATTTTCTTAATTTCCTTCCTATATGCATTTCTGATGTTATTAATTTTTTACACTTTTTTTTGTTAGCATTTGGCTCAATGTCCTTCAATTTTTCAATTAAACCTAAATAGGCAACTTCTTTTTTGCTTTTGTCATAATAATCTTTACTTTTAACATTTGAAAGGCGTGGTTTACTTTCGTAAATCTTTTAAAATTCTTCTGAACATTCACGGGACGATTTTTCTCACTCAGAGGCCTCACAACTGAACGGAAACGACGACACACACGTCATGGCGATCCAAACTGTGCAGGAAAATCAAATGGCTTTTCGTTTCTACTCCGGCGGCCTGTACAGGCCGCCGAAACTGTACAGTTTTCCCCCACACACTATAACAGTAATTCCTCAAGGTCAGGCCAACGCAGTTATTCCTCAAAGGATTTCCTTAACGTGTTTGGGCCCCTTAAGAATTATTATTATTTTTAATTGTCACCGGGTCGTATTGATTTCACTTCTGCTCCAACACTTTCTACGATTCCGGCTGCTTCATGGCCCAAAAGAACAGGAAAGTATTGTTTGGGATCAAATCCATTAAGGAAACTTTCATCTGAATGGCAAACACCAGTAGATATTATCTATAATGGATTAAAAGTAATAATAATGTATGGTTTATGTATACTTCAAACAATATATAAATTAAAATTTATATTTTAATGCTTACTTTCACACGAACTTCGTCTTTCTCTGGAACAGCAACTTCTATTGTCTCAATAGATAGAGGCTTACCCAGTGACCATGCTACAGCAGCCTTACATTTAATTGGCTAAAACAATATAAAACTTATATTTGGTAACATCTATAATATAATCGAGACGGGTTGATGATAATGATAATAATAATAAGTGCAGAGCCCAAACGGTTAGGAGTTGAAAGTTGAAATTTGGTACATAGATAGGGTACGTCATTAAAACGCACACTAAGAAGGGATTTTTCGAAATTCCTCCCCACGGGGGAGAGGGACAGGATTAAGGCTTAACACTTCTATCAACAATGCAAGTGTTAAGTAACAATGGAAATGTTAAGTAACAATGGCGGTGTTAGGTAACAATGGAAGTGTTAAGTAACAATGGTATTGTTAAGAGAAAGCGACGTGCAAGATTTACAGGCGCAGATGCAGTTCTTTCGTTTTCGCGGGAAATCGAACATATTTTTACAACCATCTAAAAGTTCTCTAATTAGTCTGGAAACAAGGGGACCCAATTCTTGCATTCTGTGAAAACGGGTAAGGTTGACTGTAACGTAATAATCTTTATCTTAGTTATCGTTACTTTTGTTCGAGCAACGCCGGGCCCACCTGCTAGCGAGTTAAAATTACTCAATTTTTCCGACTTCGAAGAAACTCAAAACACACCGAAGACAGGCCGGAAAATTACAGAATAAACGCAATTGTTTATTTTACTGCCATTGGGGTCGCTTTTTGACACTTTTCTAAACTTCTGTCATCATCTGAGTTAGAAAGCATTTCTCTAGGTTTTAAAAATTCTTTTAGTATTGAATACGTTGTTTCTTGTGTTAACTTATTCAAATAGCTTCAATCCCGCCTTTACTGTTGAGATGCAAACTCTCTCGTTGCTGGAGTTAGTCTGGAAGCCATTTCGTGAGAGGATTCCCCATAGTAATTGTGTAACAGAAATTGACGGTGCGTGCAGCAGCGATACATTCAGGAAATAATGTTTTGCCTTCCACGACCGTATTCAGTAAAGCCTTTTGCCAACAACATAATTCTTCGGGCTGCACATGCGTGAATAGTGTTTCTAAGGAATGTCTCTGGCACGTTGCCACACGTCCTTAAACGGATTTGTGCATCGAGTATTTATGTAGCCAGATGGGACACCAGCAGCAGAACTAAGAATATTATTTACTAGACGATTCAAAACAATAGTTACATCTCTGGACAAATATGTTATAGGAAAGCGTACTATGCCTGTATACTTTCATGTCCTACCGTATTGCCATAGATATCCAGACAAGAGAGGCTCTACAAGCCGTGCCGAATTAAGTTTCTAGCGGGCTCTTTTATATCTACACTAGCAGGTGGGCCCGGCGTTGCTCGGCCAAAAGTAACGATAACTAAGATAAAGATTATTACGTTACAGTCAACCTTACCCGTTTTCACAGAATGCAAGAATTAAGTCCCCTATTTCCAGACTAATTAGAGAATTTTTAGATGGGTCTAAAAATATGTTCGATTTCCCGCAAAAACGAAAAAAACTGCATCTGCATCTTGCACGTTGCTTTCTCTTAACAATTCCATTGTTACGTAGCATTTCCATTGTTGACACTTCCATTGTTACGTAGCATTTCCATTGTTGACACTTCCATTGTTACTTAACACTTCCATTGTTACTTAGCACTTCCATTGTTACGTGTTATTGTTTTAGCACTGAAGAGGGACTGGAAAATATTAGACCAGCCCGAAATGCATTTGATGTAGTTTTTACAAAATAAATTTAATTTGCCATTAAAATTGCTGTGAGATTTGTCTACCAAGAATAATTTTGGATTACAGAGACTAAAATCGTCATATTAGCATTCGCTTTGTCAGCTTATATCAGTGACCGATTCGTTTGACCAATCAGAATGAGTGTTCGCTGTAACTCACTGACCCTATCGCAAATATTTAACTTTTTAAATCTGTCTGACTGGTGTTGGCATGACAACAATAATAGTACCGTTTCATGAGAACACAATTGGATATCGTTCCAATCCGTTCTAGTGTGAAATCGCCCGGCCAGAGAAGATGGTAAAAAGTAGACGATTAATATATTAATATCAAACATATTTCTAATCTTTATTGAGTTATCACCCCATTGGGGTGTGGGCTATTCTCGGAAACAGTGCAAATCCGAGCCAACCCGCGACAAAGGAGGAGCAAGCTCCAACCTTTCGCCAGTTTCCAAAAATCAATTTAACATCGAAACTTCTGGTAGAAGCGAATCAGATATTAAGCTGATTAGAACAGATTTTAATAATAGTTTATTAATTACTTTATAGAGAGTTACATGGAACAACATGTTCAAGTCAACATTAAAGTCTTGCAGTATACATGGTAGTAAATTGGTATAAAACACGCGGGGAATATACAGAAGGGGTGGAGGTAGCTGGCAAAACGCGACAATATGTACAGTGTTACCAGAGGGTGGTACCAATTACACAGTTGTAAATACAAGACACATACAGAGAATAACGGAAGCATGGTAACATTTAGTAGAATATTTGGGTATCCGTAGAATAATAAAAGTGAATGAACAGATATATGCGTACAATATATATAAACTTGACGCGTTACAGATCGATTACTTGGTAGAGTAATACCCGATATAAGATAAAAGGTGATACATTATTAACCGATAATATGATAGTTTTACAAAAATGTAGTACTGGCAGCTGGGCTGAAGGTGTTTATACCTGAAACATGAGTTACAGGGAAGGAGATATACAAGCAGTGGTTACGTAGACAAGGCAGATAGAGGACATCATGGTAGCAGGCAGGACACAGAGACCGTTAGAAAGCTAGGGCGGATAAGTGTCATCATTGAAGTAGATCTCATCATTTATAATTTTAAAAATGTCGTCACTGTTTTTGTAGTTTTTGCTGTATTCCTCTTTCGTCATGTTTTTGATATCACTCCAGATTTTAAATTTAGCATCCTGTTTGATTTTGGTGACTATCCAAGTTGCATTACAGTTTTTACTATTGAATATTAGGTTGCATCTTGTTTTCCATAGGTTCCTTTTTGCTAAGGCAATCACCCAGTTGAGGAAGTAGTAGCTCTGATTCTGGATATTAAATTTGGTTTGGTACTTTATGTGTTGCCATTTTATTTTAGTTTTCCAAGTCTTGGCTATCCAAGCCCAGACAGATTTGGCAGTTTTACATTCATAAAATATGTGTTCAGTAGTTTCCGTAAGTTTACATCTGGGACATCTGTTGGTACGGTGACCGTGATACGTGTGGAGGTACTGCCTGGACATGATAGCGTTTACAATTATCCTCCAAGAGGTTTCAAGCCACTCAGCGGGTAGAGAATGTATGTTGTGCCAAATCCATCTGCAGTTTAGATTATTATCAATGTAGTTGGTGGGGTATTGTTTGTGAATAATCCTGTAAATGTCACTGGGGTGAACTTTTTTGTTGTCGGTAATTAGTTTTTTGTGATCGGTACTAATAACTTTGAGAATCTTTCTTATTTTGCTGTAGTATTTGTTCATCTTGACCTGGAAAGGGAAGTTTTCTTTTGTCTGGGTTAGCTCTTTGGTTATTGGGCCTAAAGTATACTGGAATAAGTACCAAAGTGGATGGTTCTTGCTTCTTAGTGTGTTGATTATGTGTGATATCTGGATTGCTGTTTCAAAGTCTTTTAAGTGCCAAATGTTCCAACCTCCATTGTTGTTGTTGTTTTTCATAATATTTCTGTTGATTGGCTCAAAGGGGCTGTTCCAAATGTATTTGAAGAGTGGTTTATCAAGCTTATTATTTTCTTTAGAATTTATATTGGTGGTATACATCTTATAAATTATTCTTGGAATGATTACTTTATTAATAATGGTTGTTCTTTCTGGGAGGTATAACCAGTCTGCTCTCCAGTCTTGGGTGGCTTCTTTGACTTTTCTTATCATTTCGTTGATGTTTTTTTCCTTAGAGTCTTTACCTATCCAAACTCCTAGCATTTTAAGGTTTTCGGTATTGTTTATTTCGGTTTGTTGACAGCTTATGTTACCTATTATGTCAATAATTTTTGATTTTTCAATGTTGATGACCATACCCGTTAGTTTACTAAAGTTGTTAACTTTGTTTTTTATTTTGTTGAGGCTATATTCGTTCACGACAAAAATATTGATGTCATCAGCATGTGATGTAAACTTAACTTTCTCCTTTAGGCCTGGTATGTGGATTGCTTCTATCTGTTCGTCGTTGGTGATGTTCTTTAGGAGTATATCGATGTATATGGCAAAAAGGATCATTGAACTCGGGCATCCCTGCCTGACCCCTGCATTGCACTTGATGTCACCGGAGTAGTTGTTGTTGATGTTGATGTTGGTACATGGGTTGTTGTACAGTTTTTTAACAGTGATGACTTCCTGATTGTTGAGGCCTAAGGTTTCAAGAAATTTCCATAACATGGTACGATTGACAGTGTCGAAGGCTTTTCTAACGTCAATCGACAGGATTGAAAGCTGCTTTTTTTGATCAATGTATATATTTTTAACATAATTCATGAAGGTGATGTTGTCTTGGATGGAGCGGCCCCTGATTCCGGCACTTTGAGTGATTGAGATGTGGTCTTTGAAGCAGTTTTCCAGCCTCTTAGAGAGAATGGTGCTATAGATTTTGTAGTCAGCATTTAGCAATGTGATCGGCCTGTAGTTGCCAACACTTCCCTCTTTACTATCAGTTTTTTTGAGTAGGATCATTTTTCCTACACAGAAAGAGTGGTGAAAAATGTCCATGTTGTATAACTTGTGGAGGATATCAATGATGGGGATGTTAAAATATTTATAGAATTCAGAACTGATGTTGTCTTGTCCTGGTGCTTTTCTGTTATGTATAGTTTGGATGGCGTCTTGGATCTCTTTTTTCGTGATTTCTTTATTTATGATGTCGTCTTTCTTGTCTTTTATTTGCTTAATATCTTTTATGTTACTTTCCCAGTATTGATTGTCATAGTTTGGTTCTTTAAACAAATTTGTGTAGAATTCTTGGAAAATTTTTATCATCTCATCATCGTCAGTGATTTCTCTGGCATTGTGTATAATTTTGTCTATTTGCAGGGTTGTTTTTTTCTTACTATTTTTTCTAAAGATCATTTTGTCAGCCTCTCTTTTTATGTTATATTTATTCATCTTATGATTGATGTAGTTTTCTTTATTTTTCCTTTCCACTTCTTTACTGATTTCATTTTCAATCCTGTCAATTTCGTTGGTGTTTTTATTTATGATGCTGTTTGTGAGTTCTCTTTGGAGTTTTTTAAGCTTATTGAATCTTTGCTTCCTGATTTTGTTCCAAGTATCTGTAAGAACGGTCTGACAGATCTGTTTGATTTTTTGCCAGTTGTCCCAGTTGATGTTCGTTTTACAGTTTTCTAGAGTGTCGTTGATTTTATCAGTGAAAGATTTATCTTGTAATATTTCTTTAGTAATTTTGATTTTTTTAGTATGAGCAGTACAGTTGACTATTTTTATGTTAAGGTCGATCATTTTGTGGTCAGATATTCTGCGGTTGTTTGTTTTAATTTCATACGCACTCATGTTGGTGATTTTGCAGAGATTACTTGAAATGTAAATGCGGTCAAGTCTTTCTTTGACACCCCTTCCTTCCCATGTATAACCTGGGTGAATGGGGAAGATGCTGCGATATGTGTCAGTCAAGTTGAAGTCATTTATGATATTTTTGAGGGCGTCTCTGGAACTGTCGGGAAAAAGTGGACCATTTTTGTCGATGTCGTTCAGAACGTTGTTAAAATCACCCATGATAATTAGCTTTCTGTTGGTATTTAGAAAGCTTCTCATGTTGTTAAAAAACTCTTTTCTCTCTGTGACATATGGGGGGGCATATATGTTGACTATGCGTACAGGTTGTTTGCATGTCTCTGCATCAACGGTGATAATTCTTCCTTTGCTGTCAGTTTTAAAGTCGTTGATTTTTATGTGTTTATTGATGAGTAATAGTACACCAGTGCTTTTTCTGCAGGCAAAGGAGGCATAGATGTTGTAGTTGATGAATGCTTTCCTCATTTGTCTAAGTTCATCAAAATCGCCAATATTGGTGTCTTGGATTGCAAGGATATCAATGTTATTAGTTATGATGAGATTTAGAATTTCAATCTGCTTTTCTATACCTTTGAACCCAGTAATATTGATGGATCTAATATTAATATTGATAGTTTTGTTTTTATCCATAAATAGGGCGCTTATTTCCTATTTATTCTTTTTGACTTTTTAGGTTCTTTCGGTGTTTTTGCTTTCTTGGTTATCCCATATTTCACTTTGAGCTTTTCAATTTCTTCTTGTTTTTCTTGCCCTGTCATGTCTCTATCAAGTTCTATGGCCTTAACATAATCCTCGTACGTAGTTATGGTTTTGTCTCCCTCATCATCTGAGCCTTCATCTATTTCTAAAATGGTATTTTTATTTTCCTTTGCCTCTTCTGTATTAACCTTCTCTTTTTTATCTATTGTTCCTTGTTTTATTTCTCTTTCTTTCATATCATTTATTTGCTTGCTCACGGGGTCATTGGTACTGTTTGCCCCCCCACCCTTGATATGTTTTTCTGTTTTTTCTTGTGTATCTTCTTCTTTCTCGTTTTTATCTGATTCACTTTCTACTACTTTCCCTTTGCTTTGTTTCTTTGGAAATGTTGTCTTTGAGTCTTTCTAAACTTTTTTCCCTCTTTTTTTCGCTGTTTTTGTTTCGTGGCCCTTTTTCATATAGCTCTTTTAACGTGATTTCCGGACATTTTTCGTTTTTACTGTGTTCTTTTTTGCAATTGTAACATGCAGGACAGTCTCTAATTAAGTGTAGGGTACTATTGCACCTGTAGCATTGTTTTAGGTTGCACTCTTTAATTTCATGATCAAGAGCCCCGCATCTACGGCATTGCTTTTTCATGCCTTGGTAGAAAACCTGTATATTTCTACCCAGAATTTCAACAAAGTTGGGGATAATTTTTTTTGTTACTAAGACCACACGGTATGTTCCCGTTTTGATTTTCGTTCCGGGATGTGTGTTAACGAGTATATTCACTACTTTACCGAATTTGCTAAACACACTGCGTAGTATATTACAGTCAGCTTCTTCGGGTACGCGCTTAAGACTAACATAGATTAATTCGCTTTCTAGACTTTCTATGGTACAAAGTTCCTCTCCTACCTTTATGGTGTAACCCATGACTCTCTCCTTGTCTTGTACCGTTTCCAGTCCTATTTCCACAATTCCTTTCGGGTGGAAGCAAATTTGCTTAATCTTGTTCTCACCAACAATGTTCCCAATGGCACTTATAATGTCTTTCAGTTCTGGTCTCTGCATGAGGGTGATCCTCACCGATCGTATTGACGAATACTTCTTTATCCTGTCGTCTTCTTCGTCTTCTTCTTCATTGGTAGCATCTTGGGCGTTTGTTGATGTTTTATCCACTTCCAAGGCTGGAGATGGCGAACGAGATGAGGTGGCATGGCAAGCCAGCTCGTCGTCAGTGTCCAAGGCAGGTCTCCCATGCTGTATTCTCGTAAGAGATATACAAGGGTTGCAGAGAGCGTTGCTGTCTTTAACCATCGCACACGCTCTTTATATTGATGTATTTGAGTAATCCAAGGTAGCAAGGCACACACCAGATGGTCACGCCGAACAGGGAAGTAATCCAAGAGACTAGAGCAGCACGGCGTAAGACTGGCTAAGAACAATGGTGGAAGGCAAAGAGG